GGAAGCGTACACAACAGGATGACTTATTTCCTGATTTGCCCCTCTCTGTTATCTAGATGATTATCTTCTCAAAAGGAGAAAACTAATGAAAGAAGACTTGCCAAATAGAGAAGCATTCTGCTAGAGAGGGCATCGCTGCGTTCTTTAAATTCAATCCTCTGCACTTTGGAAATTATAGCCTAGGATGTGACCAGGACATTCCTGTCCTTAAATAATATCAGACTATATTGCTAAGGAATTGTCATCATTCTTTAGGGGAGTAGGACAAAGAGTCATAATTAGAGTACCATAGTTATAACCTGTGTAGAGTGACACCATGAAATATTTAAATTTTCCAGAAAAAAAAATCCCTTTTGACATGTGGTATACACAGAGACAAGCAATAGCCCCAGGTAGTTGCACCACAGAGAGCATCCTGTTCCTTTCTGTCACCTCACATTTTCATCTCTCCCTCTCTCCCTCATCCTCTCTCCCTAATATGTAGAGAACAGATATCTAGGCAAGCTCTGACTGGCTATGACCTAACAGGACTCTATCATTTTCTAGGATCCACAATCCATAAAAAACTCGCAGCACCCAAGGATATGTTGTAGAGGACTCCTCACCATATGTTTCCAGGACCCATCTCTTAGGAATGATGGGAAAAGTAAGGACCAACGATCCTAGAAGGAACACAGTGAAGCCATCAATCTGTTATGAATTGTGGGACTGTGGGCAAGCTTGAGAGGTCAACTCGGGTCACTGAAAAGTGGTGAAAAGTCAGAAGACACTAAAATGCAGCCACTGGATTAAAACATGAAATATAAGGGCTGGAGAGATGGCTCAGATTTTAAGAGCACTTGCTGGTCTTGCAGAGGATCTGGGTTGGATTTCCCACATCTCTATATAGCTCTCTACTTCTTGTAACTCCAGTTCAATGGGATCCAATGTCCTCTTTCAGCCTCCGTGGGCAGTGCACACACAGTACACAAACATACAGGCAAAGAAAACACTCATACACATACACACATGCTTTTTTTAATGACAAAGATTAGAAAGCAGAAATGTGAGAGGTAATTTCCATCACTAATGTAACTTACAATATCAAGAATGCAGTTTTAATTACATGATTCAATCTATTACAAAAATTATGATATTGCCTGGTGTGGTGGTGTTCGCCTTTAATCCCAGCACTCAGGCGGTGGAAGCAGGTGGATCTCTGTGAGATCAATGCTAGCCTGGTCTACATAGTGAGTCCCAGGACAGTTGGGGCCATAGGGAGACCCTGTCTCAAAAAAATTATGATATTAATAAATATATAATAGTAGAATCATGTTCATAAAGTCTGGAACACAGAATATAAACAAGAGATAATAAATATATTTGTTATAGTAAATTACTGGGAAGTCCCTTCATGAGCTAAGATGACCAATCATTTTTGTCTAATCAGTTATATCATGATTTTAATAGTGAATGATTCTGGAAAAAAATTTCCTAGTGTGAACAAAGCCATAAATTTGTTCACATTTCTTGTGATTTCATTTCAGCAGACCATTGCAAATGTTCTGATGCAAGAATAATCATTAAATTGTTTTTAATCATTCAATCAAGAAAAATCATACAGATTTCAATTAGTGCAATTAAAAATTTGTTTTACCCTAATTCTCCAGGATGGACCTAAGTCTTTTTAATGCATTCTAAAAGGAGATAAACACCAAGGGTCTCTTCCGAGGTCCTGGTTTTCACTCAACAGCAATGGGCCAGAGACTGCTTACTTTTGCTGCAGCCCAATAGATTGTTGATATCCAAGTGGCTCGCACCAGTAACGCAAGTGCTGCACTTGAAGCCCATGACAAACTGTTTGCAGAAACACTGGCCTGTGACCAAGTCACAAGTTTCATTCAAGGATCCCATAACAGGACAAGGCTGGCATCTGAAAACGAGATGAATAAACCATTAAAGAGTATAGGATCATAGCTAATGATTCATAGTATGTGTTATGCCTATCAATAAAATCGTGGCTGAAGACAGGTTGTTTGTGCCAGCATATTGCAAAGGATGCTGGTGATAACAAACACAAAATAAAATAAGACAGAAAACATCTTTACAAAAATGCCGCCAGTGCTAAAAGCTATATGAAGATTTTGCATTGTTTACTAATTAATGACCTCAAAAAACATAATACTGAGGGCTGGGGACAGCAAGCATGAGGACCCAATTTGGATCACTACGATCCATGTGAAAACCCAGGTAAGGTGGCAAGCCCTGGATTCTCAGCACTGTAGAGATGGAGACAGGAGGATCCTTGAGGCTTGCTGCCCAACCATTCTAGCCAAATCGGTGAACTCTGGGTTCAGTGTGAGCCCCTATCTCAAAATGTAAGGTGGAGAGTCATTTAGAAGACATTCAACAATGGCCTTTCATCTACACACGAGCACACAGACACAGAAAGGCCTTATATAAGCATTTTACTGGAGGAGGCATGGTGGTGCATCCCTGCAATCCAGAACTTGGGAGTTGGTGGGAGGAGGATCAGAAGTTCAAAATCATTCTTGGAAACATAGTAAATTTGATGCCAGCTTAGGCTACAAGAGACATTGTGTCAATCCCAGGCAAAGTTGCTATGTTTTATTTTTACATGCCATGGGGAGAGTAGTCTGGATACCATTTGTACAATGAAATGAATATTTTCTTTTCTTATAAAAACTTTTTGTCAGCTAAACATTTAGGTGCTCACAAAATTATTTTTTTCAAGTGGCTACTGAGTTACAAAATTGTTTAAGTTCTGTATTTTCGTTTTATAAAGACTAAATCTTGCCGAAATACTTAGTTTCAAATACTGTTTGATCCTTGCTTGTTACGGGTTTCATTTGTTCAGTCTTCATTTCTTTTCCTGTTGCTGTGACAAAATATTCTGACAAAAGCAACTTCCGATGAGGGAGTTCACTCTGGTGCACAGCTGAAGGCTGAGGGAGTGCAGGAGGTAGGAGCCTGAAGCCATTGGTCACATCACATTCACAGTGGGATAATGGAGCACGGATGAATGCTGGAGTTCAGCACCCTTTTTACATGTACACAGGATCCCAGCCAGCCAATGGTACCACCCAAGGTGGGCAGGTCTTTCCACTTTGGTTAAGACAATCAAGAAAATCCCCAACAGCCCCATCATCCAAGAGATTCCTGATTCTGTCAACTGGACAATTAACAGTAACCATTACGTATCCAGATATGACTGGAAAAGAGACCATTATTCGTATTTATGCAGATATGCTAATGATGCAAAGATAATGCGATATCCTCGCTGCAACTTGAAAGCTGTTAGGCCTGTGGTCATCTGTAAGCTTAAATGGTCATGCCCCTCAGCTGTGAGAGAGACTGTGATTTGTTTCCTTACCACGTGCTACTTGCCCACCTGGTCTAGGCTTGTGGCATTGATTAGGTGAAGCGGTTTAGAGATTAGAAAAGTAAAAACAACACAGGAAGAACATTAAATCAGGGATTCTCCATGAGCCACATTTAAAACAACTCTAAGTGGATGTACCCATACCTTCCAAAGAGAAGCCTGTGGAAAGAGCGATTCCCTCCACTGCAACTTTTATGGTGTGATCTCTCGGGTAATCATTCAACACCCTTAAAGAGGCTGATAAAAGCTAAGGCTGCCAAATGAGCTGAAAATTTGTTTTATGGACTAATACGCCTTTGGGAATAAATAAAGTACAGTTTCTCCTGAAAACAACTATGCTGTAGTTTGCCCTTTTATGGCCATGATGAAAGGACATTCTTTCCCTTACAAACTACTCAAAAGGTCTTTTATCTAGACACACTGCACTGAAATTCCATCCCCAATAGAGGTTTTGTTCCGCCTAAGTATTAGAGATGAGGAAAATTAAGCACTGAAATTAAAATGGAACTATAGAAGCAATGAAATACTTGATTTGCTTTAATTTCATTATAGGATATTACTTACAGTGTACTATTTGTGGGCTTTTAATGTAATACTAGTGAGCATAAACAGTAAGAGGCAAGCTTCTCTGTGAGTATATATATATATAATATATATAAAATGTGTGTGTATAATATATGTGTGTGTGTGTGTGTCACTACACCACTCATGAATAAGCATCTCATGTGTGTTTTGGTTTTTATTAGCATTCACTCATGAGTCAATCACACTTACTTTACATACAGGCCATTTAGAGAATAGTTTCCAGTGTATAACATAATTCCATCCCCCGATGTAGCTCTACTTTCTTCCAACCCACTGCTACATGCACAGCTTCAAGTCAGCTATGTCAATATCTGTGGGATATTAAGTTCCAAATCCAAATGGAATAAATAAATCATTTCTGGGGAAAGCAAGCACTCTTTTGAGTAATTAAATGTGTCTTCCTGGCTTTATTGTCTTTTCCTAGCCATTGTTTTATTGAACATATCGCACTTGCTATAATTGCTTAATTTCAGTGAGAGGGAATTTTCCTTAAATGAAGTCCGTCAAATGGGATTTTCTAGAATATTGTAGTGTGTCTCCAGTCCAAAGGACACGGGGGATAAAACTGTAATTAAGGTTTAAGTAAAATGATTCCTACAAATTTCTCAGCCACTCAAATACAATTTTAAACATTTCCAAGGCTCTTTAGCAAATAAGCTACAAGTTTGATAACAGTTTATAAGTCATCCCTTCTCAGGAGTATGTCCTAAATGAAATATATTCCACGTTTATTAAAACAAAATTATACGTAATAAAGGAAAAGACATCTTAAGCTTAGAAGGAGTCGCACCAAACCAAGATGAATTGTGATATTGATTTTGCTAGGATAAATGGTTTTCGTAATATTAATATAAAGAAACCTTTATTACACAGACTCTCCTGGTACAGCCCAAGCTTCTCCCACAATCTGTTTAAAATCTTCATTTTTCATCCTTATGGGAAAACCTCACTTGCTAAATGGATTTCATAAAGAGTAATCTGTCAAGGTTTATATAGATAAACAATTTGTGATGTTTATTGACCAGTTCATTATGATAAACAAAACAGAAGAGGAGCACAGCTACCCTTTGCCAGCACCCTGCCGCTGGCCTCCCTTGCCTTTCTGTATCTCAGTGTTTACCAGGTACAGTGGGAAAAGATAATTGGCTACTGCCTGTTTCATGACAAATCTCCTGTATTTTTCTTTCCTGGGAGAGTCAGTTATATATACAGTAAAAGTCACCCTGATTATTACTATAGAAGAAACATAACTGTTAATGAAGGGAGTGTGTTTCATGCTACACGATACTGCTGGAAACCTCATCTGGGGGGTACAAGGAAGGCAGGACAAGATAGAGAACCATTGTTCAGTATTTTTCTTCTGCCTGGGCCCTCAACTCATGGGTACATCATAGTGATAGTGACTGACCACTCAGAGCCCAGGTATGCTCTGGGATGGGAAATGACACTGATAAAGGTAAATACTGAGTGGCTTCTCCTGTCCTCCAGGAGCACACAATCTACTGTAAAAGACAGAGACCTGACGGCCTGGCAGCAAAGATGCATGCAGAGTCTTTGGGGGTAGGAAGAAGGGACAAATATGCAGTGTGATGGGGCAGCATGGAGAGGGGCATCAGCTGAGCATCACCAGGTGGAAGATCTAAACCTGAAACACTGAACTTTAAAGCTTTTTACCTGCTGATAGGGTACCTCCAGCGAAAAATCGCCTCTAACATAATAGGTCACAGTCAGAACGCAGGTGCACCACACTACTACACAAAATTACTTTAATACTGTGCTGATAAGGTAGATGAGAGAGAGAGAGAGAGAGAGAGAGAGAGAGAGAGAGAGAGAGAATATATAGAAAAAGTTATTTCTAAAGTTAATTCTGTGCTTCAACATGTATCTTATCCTTAAAATATCTCATCACATATTAAGCAAATATTCCAGAATCCAAAACAAGCCAACATTTGAAGCACTTCTGGTCCCCGAGCATTTCACATAACACTCAACCTATAATTAAGGAAGTTTATGAGTCTTGGGCCAAATTTTCTGCTGTTTTTGTCTGTTTTTTTTTTTTTTTTTTTTTTTTTTGACAGGCTCTCTCTGTAGTCACAGCTGGCCTGGAACTTGCTATGTAGACGAGGCTTGCCTGTGAGATCCACCTGCCTCTGCCTTCTGAGTGTTGTGATTGAAGGTGTGCTCCAACACACCATACTAATGTTTGGGTTGAATTTTAAAGAGATTTAGAAGAGTGGGCTGAAAGAAAGTAAGAGCCAGAGGTAGTAGAAGACCAGAAGGAACAGTCTCATAGGCTCCTGGGAAGTTGCTCATAAGAACTCAAAGCAGTGGTGACAGCATGCACAAGACCCATGCAATTTCGAAGTAGACAAAAACCTAGTGTAGATGTGGGAAGTGGGTAAGAAGCCCCAGCCTTATCTGAGAACCTATTGGCAACTGATAACCACTGGGAGGGGGGAGCTGGTTTTCTTCAAGGCAGTGATGCTAGATAAGTTGATCAGGCTCCAGCGAATGGACTCACACCAAGGGATATTTGGGGACAGAAACTTGGCTTGTAGGCTGTAACACACATAACAGAATACATGAAAACTGGTGGGTAGGCTATGGGGTGCAGACGGGGGATGGGGTCTAAATATTATGAAGCTATATATTTTATGAAATTTGCAAAAGTTTAAAAAAGGACAAAGAGGGAACATGAGAGAAATCGGAGAGGAGAAAATAGAAAAAGGGGTGGTGTCGAAATTATAATAAGAATTTTTCTTTCCTTATATTTATCTAACTATTTAGTTATTTTTTTTTCTCTCTCTCTCTCTCTCTCTCTGTGTGTGTGTGTGTGTGTGTGTGTGTGTGTGTGTGATGTTGCAGTACATGGACCTAAATGTGTAAGGCATGTGTGAACAAGCGGAAGCTAGAGGAGGAAGTCAGTTGTCTCTCTCCATGCCTTT